TCTGGCGGCCATCTGCAGTCCAGGCCAGCACCCAGGCATGGCTGCCCTGCATCCTCCATGTCCAGCTGCCCCCTTTTCCCTCCCCTTGTCCCCTTCTCAGGTTTTTTTTTTTATCTTTTCTTTTCTTTTTTTAAAATATCTGTTAATTCTGATCCCAAAATCAAGCACGTTGCAATAACGCATGGCCTAGCAACCTGCTCTGGAAGAGCAGTGATACTTTCTTTGTGCTCCGTTTTTAATGAAACGCAGAGTTGTTTTTTCCAGTTCAGGTGGTCCTTTCCCAAATTCAAATTTATTTCCATACTTTACTCATACTGTTCTACCTCTATATATTAGTGTAAAGCTTCTGAGCACATTAGGTACACTCAATTGCATAGAATTCATTTAAAAAACAAACAAAAAAAAACCACAAAGCAAAAAACCCCAACAAACCAAAGCCACTCACCAAAAACGAACAGTTACTATCACTGTCTATTTCTCGATTTAGTTTGCCCTGATTGCCTCAATTACTTCTGTTTTCACATGAGAGATGGCACACAGCTGATGCTTTGCTACCTTCAGTGTTCAGGCTGGCTTAGTCTGGTAGCAGAAGCTAAATTTTGAAATGTGCATCTTTGAGCAAATGACATGTTCCATGTTTTGTCACTTGTGTTGACTTCCTTTTATGATTTTCTATTTCAGTGGCAGTTCAGTGTTAAAAACTTACCATCACCAATCTGCAAATAAATTAAAAAAGCAGGACTGCAGTGTTCACAGGCAACCTGCCACAGCGTCCAGCCTTGCCGAGAGCAGAGTTGGAAGTGATTGAATGTTTTATCAGTGTACCTTCCAAGCACTGAAACAGTTCTTTATACTATTAGTATAAATTAATTACACTAGTAGTAATAGTAATAATCTACTACAGTAAATTATTTGTGAAGCTAGATAAATATTAGGGTAAAATTAATGAGGTTTCATAATCAACACAGATAAATTCTAGCAATATGAAAAACAAGATTGTTTTTGTTCACTCACTGTTTTCCTTCATATTCTAGTCCTGCAGAAAAAAAGTACACTCAAGTACACTTATTTTCTTTTTCAAGAAATCTTTCTTTTTCCATAAAGTCTGCAAAACTCAGGAGCTGTCCTTTCCTGCAAGGTTGTATATCTTAGTCTGGTAATTTCAGTTTGGATTTTTGCAAAGGTCTTTATACAGTGTGTGTTTGATCGTAATTACACTTTTCACTGTCCTATGTTTGACATTGTGTATATATTTATATCTTGTATATATGTGTGCACACAATCTATTTTATATGGAATTAGGTTTTATTTAGGTTAGACTTTAAAACAGTGTTACAGTTTAAAGCTTTGTGCCTATCTTAAGCTGCAAAGATGGATTATTTGTCATGCTAGTGTGTCTGAAATATGCTGTGAAACTAGTGTAAGGAGGTGGAACAACTCCTGAAGAAATTGTTTGATATAATGCTAAAGCTGTCTTCTTGTGGGTGGAGTTTAGGATTTCCTGAAGAAATTTTCGTCGGATCAATTCAGGATGTTTTGTTTGCGCAGCAGATACAGCTCAGGTAAGGGGGGGGAAAACCCCCCGAATCCTTATTTCTTGAGATATGCATGGCTTTCCATGTGCACTTCCCAAGCTGGCGACGCAGAGGTGTGGTGGTGGGAGCGGGCTCCCCCTTCAGTGCCTTGCCCTTCCCCTCTGGTAAGTGGAGTGGTTGGCGATGCTCTGCGGGGCTGCTCTTTGGCTCTCGTTTAGAAAAGCATCTTTACAGAGGACAGTACTTAACCAGTTGTCTAAATACCTTCCTGAGCTGCAGTTAATTGCAACTCTCAATTAATTGCACTTTCAATTAGTGAATTACCTCCATCTCTGATTTGCATCTGTTGCAGTCACTTGTATTTCAGTCATGATCATCAGCTGTTTTTGGAGACTTACCTAGCTTTGCCTTATATTCCCGTAGGGTACAACAAGGGCTTGCTAATAACTTTTTATCTCCCTGCTGCACTATCATTTTTGGTCCTGTGGCGTTACTGAGTGTTCAAGCAGTTCTGTGGTGCAGTGCAGCTCGCTTACACCAGTGCTTGATAACCTAATGATCATCTTAGCCTGGCAATCACTGCTGGTGAGGAGACGTGGGGGAGGTTTTGTCACCTTCCCTGTCCATACCGTGGTGTTTCCAGCAGGCAGATGCTACTTTGAACTGGAAGAGGTTTTCATATGGATAGCGTTGTTATCAGCTAATTGGTGCCTGCCAAAAGCAGACGGTAGTTCCCTGACCACTGCTTGGTCATCTGGCTTGCTGGCCGTCCTGGCATGGTAAGGGATGGTGAAGCAGAGGGAAAGACCTGCCGCCTTGTTTCGGCGGGCCTCTAGCTGCCTTGGATAAAGCACCTCTAGCAGTGGGACTGGGAGAGCTGGTGTGGTTGAGGCTCTGTGGCTTTGCTAGCATCCATCAGCATGCAGTGCGCTGCACGTTGTTACAGATGTGCAGTCATAGAATCACTTTGGTTGGAAAAGACCTTTGAGATCATCGAGTCCAACCTTTAACCGAACCCTGCCAACCCACCACTAAACCATGTCCCTAAGCACCTCATCTATCCTTCTTTTAAGTACCTCCAGGGATGAGGACTCTACCACCTCCCTGGGCAGCCCATTCCAGAGCCTGGCAACCCTTTCTCAGTCATTGGACTGAGAAGTCTTTTTGCTTGTTAATGCCTCCAGCTGCTTGCAGGAGCCACCCCTCTGATCTTACTGGTGGAACCTCCCTCTCCTAAGGCAGCTGAAGGCATTGGTAATGCCATGTATCCCTGGAATATTTTTGAAGCATGGGATACTAAAGAGACTGCTGGTTATTAACTGCCAACCTCCACTGTGGTAGGAAGGAATGAATGGATCCGGGCGGGAGGTTTGCTGCAGAACAAGCCCCTTTTTGGAGCAGGAGAGGGGGGCAGGCAGTGGGGAGCACTGCCACCACAGGATGAGGCAGCGGGATGGTGGCATGCCTGGCTGTTTTGGGGTGATGCTGCAGGACAGTGGCACACCTGGCTGTTTCCTCGGGGTCTCTGTCAGGATGTGAAATACCTTGTGCATACCTAAATGGCTCCCCAGCTGCAACCTGGGGCACTTGAGAGTCCTGAACAAATGTGTATTTAAAACAAAAGAAGAAAAAAGGCTAACACTTACAGCACTGTCATAGGTATGTTTGTCCTGTAAACAAAAGCCGAATGGCTGGCAATTTCTAAGCTTGCCTAGGGGCAAGGTATGGCACTGGAGCCCCAAAGCAGAGGGCTGCCTGCATGTCAGATTTTGCACCTCTGCAAGGACATAACCCTTTTTTTCCTTTACTTCCAGGTTAAATACCTTCCTGTGATTTAAAAACAGAGGGCTACCTGTTGAAACGTAGGTGGTTTTGATGAAAGGATACAGCGGTGTTATGTCAGAGTATAGCACTAGCAAGCCACTTGGCAGATAAGGATTGCTGGAAGGTCTGCTGTGCTTGCCACCTCCACCTTATAAGGCAGGGTGCAGTTATTCGCTGTCCGATAAAGACCCAGAGTCAGTCCCTGCTGAGCCAGGTATTTACTATGTCAGCTTGTGTCGCTGCTATCAAGTCACTTTGGCCTAAAGATAAGTTTACTGTGCTCCTTCTCGTCTTGCTGTCTGCTTCCTAAGTATTTTTATTAGAAGTGAGATCCCAAGTGTATTCTGTTTGTTCCTAAAAAGGTTTTTGTAGCCTAAACCTGTTGGCGATGATTGCTGCCATTGCTGCCTGTGAAGAACAACCTCTTTTTTTACGTGCTAAAATCCAGGCTGCGGGGGTCAGGTGATGGTACCGCACTCGCTTCATAGGCATGCGGATGAGGGCAGCGCCTGATAGTTGGGAATGGGTCGTGCTCGGTGCTGTGGTTTACGTGAATCTTGGGCTCCGAATGGGCTTTCTTTTTGTGCTGTGGGCTACCTGCCTGCGTGTGTGCTGATGGGCACTTGAGGACAAATGTGACTCCAAACTGCCCCAACCATGTAGGGGCAAGGGCTGGAGGGGCATGCGCAGGGAAGCATATGTGTTTTGTGGAAGTGGGGGGCCCCCTCCATGGTGGTCACTGTTGCAGGGAGGATAAAGGTTGGATGACTTGCCCATGGGGGAGAGGAGAAAAGTCAGAGGAACGAGGCTTTGATGCAGGACATCATCCTTCCACAGCATATCTCTGCAGGGCATCCCTCTGCTCTATTACCCTCTCCGCCTGCTAAGGCTGGTGGGGCAGGGCTGCTCAGGGTTAGGCTGAGCTCTAGGGGCAGTGGTGGTGATCCAGGCTTTCTGCCAATGCCTCTGGCTGTCCTCTTCTTGGCCCGAATCGCCACCCTCTGTCCCACCTGGCGCTGTTGGGAAATGGCCTTTCCTAGGTGGTGCCCCACCACCAACGTGCCTGCCAGGCTGCTTCTGGGTGCAGCTATAAAGGAGAGGTGCCATCTCTGAAGCCCTGCAGGACCCCATTGTGAGGTGCTGCTTTTCCTCTTGCATCTCGTCAGCAGTAGCTTTCCTTTTGTAGTTATGTGGAAGGGCTGCAAACTTGCTGCAGGGAGCGGGGTTCTGCCCCCAGAACGCTGTCCTGGTCACCAGAACCGCTCCGGTGACTTTGTGAACCTGAGTGAACTGTAACATTTTGGTGCCTCTGGTCTTCTGTTACTTGTTGGTGCTAATAAATGTATGTTTTGTAATTTGAGGGTGTAGTGATGATGCCCTCAGTGGCAAAGGAGGGAAGGAGTAGGGAGTATGGTGAAGATTTATAGAGCCAGGCTTGCCTGTGCCGTGCTGTGGGTTTGCAGTGGCTGCAGGCGGTGGTTTAGGAGAGTGCTGTGAATCGGGGAAGAAGAATGGCTTTAATCAAAGTGGGCTTCATCAGGGTAAACTTTCATCAAGTATTCCTCACGGAGTTCCTGTAACCAGGGTAATCAGTTGAGTAATCTTAGTGGATATAAATAATCTCTTTCAATATCTCACTGTTTTCTAAAAGTCTATACATCAGTCTTTTTAAAAGCTGAGTAAAGCTTAATTTTAAAACCAGTGTTAATGAGGCAGTAATGCAGATTTTTAATTACATACAAGTGGAAAATCTGACAAATACAGGCCCAGACTTATGCCTTAGTTAAACTGGGGTAAATCCTATGGAAAGTCTGTTTAAACAGTTGGGCTTCTTTGGGATTTAGGCTAATGGAAAATGGAACCGAGATCATGTCTCACATCTGGCTGCTCCTGCCCTCTTAGATCTGTCCCCTTGCTTGGACTGTGTGCTCTGAAGAGTCTGTGTCTGGGCAGCATTGGGTAATTGCACAAATTGTGGCTGTAATGTGCACGGGACCAGAGGTGAGATTGCTGTGGAAGCTACAGGTGATGCTCGGTTCTGATGAGCTTAGGAATACGCTGCAAGCTGTAGCTTGGGTGTACCTTAGTGCAGAGGTCAGACATAAAACGGTGAAGCAATATTGCACTGGCTACAAATGGCTTTTTGATAGATGTAACCAACTCCACTGTGATATTGTAGGAGGGAATGCATTTAAACTTAGGCCTGTCCTTGGTGGACATAACTTCCACCAAAGCTGGGGGAGCTGGTTTTTTTGCAGTCCAAGTGCTCACCTACAGAAAATTGCGCATTACTCTACAAAGAGAAAAATTGCCTCTTGCTGATGGCAGCTTGCAGTAAAAGTGCAAGGGGTCCAGTCCAGCACCTGCACTTCTGAGAGTGTAGGCAAGGCGAGAGGAGCCCGCTTAGCTCTAGTCTTAGCTAGAGCCTGCTTAGCTCCATGCTGGGGCGGGGGGGCAATGTCATCTTTCCAGTTGGTAGAAGAGCAGTGCTGTAGGGTTAGGGTGTAGCAGATCTCATCATAAAGTAGAGCTCTGCTTAGGATGAGATGAATCATTTACCTTAAGGTTTTATCTTTCTTTCTGGTGACTATAAAGAGGCTTAGATATAAATTGGATGTGATGAATCCCTTCCCAGATGTGCCCTTAACGAGTTTAAGCAATTTGTATTTTCTCTAACCTTTGAAAATTGATACGGCCAGTTTAGCTTTGAGGGAACTGTATACCTAGTGCAGAATCTAGACTGTAAAATTTTAGGTCCGTCTATATTTTAGACACTGGTGAAGCAGATCTTTAACTATAAGTGCCTATGTTCCTCACAGAGTCAGCGATGAGGATTAAGTCTACAAAACCAGATCGTGTCTACCTAAATTAGAATAGGGACAAAATTAGGGGTGAAGTCAAAGGTACATCTTGCCAAATTAAATCTGGAGGGATGTTTAGAAACATATCCAGCCCAAATGCTTTGGAGTAATAACTTCACAGATTCAATAATTAAAAAAAAAAAGAAAATTCACATCAAGTAGCTATTGCTTCAGTCAGCTTCCCAACACTTTTTGAATCAATCTGATACTTTTCCAGTAGGCTAAACTTTGTCATATGTAATGATTGTCTTTTATATTGATTTAATTCACCTAGTGCACATGAAGAATGGAGTTTTTAATTGAATATGCAATTAATTGTAAGAAAAGTTTGCTGTGACAAATAACAAAGTTTTCCTGGAGTGGCTTTGCCTCAGAGTATTATTCCTACGTCTGACAGACAGCATCCTCTGTATTGTAACACCCAAATTTTTTTTTTTTTTTTCTTAGCAGTAGAATTTAGTGACGAGAGCATGGATGATGCAAAGCACCTTCTTCAGGCAATTTCCTCATTTATTAGCGATGCAAATGCTTATATAAAAGGACAGCTGGTATGTGACCCTGTTAGAGAAGACATACTGTGGGAAAGGTAAGTGTGCCTCCTGTATCTTAGACTGTGATTATGCATGCAGTAGTTTGCTGACGGGCTCAGAGGACTAAACACTGTAGCGTGCTGAATCCTGTTTAAGCAGCAGGACAAGAAGGACTGAGAAGCAGCCTTCCCTGCCAGCCCTCACCAAGGGCAGCTTTTTTCTTCTTCTTCTAGCCAGCTGTTTTTCCTCATAGTCTGCTACACTTTGTTCACTGTATTTTTAAAATCCGTGTTATTTATTTAGTGTGCCTATCCCAGCACTTGAATCTTTGCCCCTCTTGAGTGATGTAGAAGGCAAAGCTGTGACTGAAGCTGTGAGGCTGCCCAGTTCTTAAGTAGAACTGTTTGTTAGTGACTGAGGAAGAAAGAGGACAAGTGGAAAGTAATTAATGCCTTGGGCCCATGAGCTTGTAATCAAGCTGGCTGGCACTGTGGTGTGCAGCAGAGGAGAGAAGGGGTTACTAAGAAACTGGCCGGGGCAGAAAAGTCGTGGGGAAAGAAGTAGTTATGGCTGTTGTGACCCTGATGCTGATGAGGAGAATCGTCTTTGGAGTCCCTTAGGAAAACCAGACTGTCTTCCAGGAGAGAGACATGCTGTGTGTTGGGTGCAAAGCTGAGAAGATGAGCGCAGTGCTCTGGAGTTGGGGTAGGAGGTGCATTGAGCACTCTGAAGCAACGTCTGTCCATGCAGGCAGCTCTGGGGTGTAAGATCAGAGGGGAAATGGCCCATGCTGTAGAAGTGAGAGGCGGCTTCCTTGTGGCGCGGGCACCTCGCTGTCAGGGAGCTTGCGGCCGCACTGACAAAGGCTTGCAAGGGGCACTGGAATGCGTTGCAGGGAGGGGGAGCTGAATTAAGTAGTTGTGATATTTGGCGAAGTTGAGTCCTTCAGTAGGAGGCTGCAGAAGACCTGTTGGTGAGAGATAAGGCTGAGACGTGAGGCACGTGGGCAAGTTGAAATGGATTGTCAGTGGGGGACATGTGGGAGGGCACAACTTGTGGATCACTAGATGTAATAGATGTAAAAACAACCAGAATGAAACAGAGCTCTTAATTAGGAAAGTGGTAGTTATTCAGCAGAGAGGGGGAAGTTTGCAGGGAAGAGCATTGGGAGGAATGGGTTAGGGCAGCAACCATCTGATATCCGAGGGGAGGCAGGCATTCCAAGCAAAACCACTCAGAAATAGGCACAACTGGTTGAGGAGAGCCCCAGAGGCACTAGGATAGCTTGAGGTTCCCCAGGTAACCCCGCTCCCTGAGCTTTATCATGAAACTGCATCCTCGGGTCAGCACTGTCGAGGTCGGGTTCCCCTGGCGGTGTGCAGGAGCGCGCTGCCAGCAGCTGTTTGCAGCTCGCCGCTTATTCCCCCCGCTATCCGCATCCTCCCGCTCAAAGCGGCTGCAGCGGGTGGCACTGGTCCTGCGGCGGTGAGCGCTGGCTGCCCCATGGCTTTTGGCGCTGTTGCACAAATGGTCCCACCAGACTTCCTCGCCTCAGCCAAGCCAAGTGGAGTCCCAGGGCTGGTATTGGGCTCGCCTGGGGAAACGAGGAAGCAGCACCCGCTTCCGGGATGGATCCTGCTAACGGGATGCCTGGCTCACCCTGAGTCAGCTCTTTTGCCAGGCACTGGAGTGATGGGAGTTGACGTGGTGTTGGAAGGGAAACATGCTGTTAGCATGAAAAATGGGCTGCTGGAAAAAAAAGAACTTGGCGAAGTCTTTAATGTGCTTAGTATCAACCTCATTTTCCATCTGTTTTTTTAAATGATTAAGGCAAGCCTTGCTCTGCCGTTGTTGGTTCCTGTGATTAGTGAGGTATTTATTGAACGGATGTAGCACTCTGGATTTTGATGGGCGTCAAGTTTTTTCCTGTCGCAGCTGAAAGATGTGTTCTCCCTGATCAGCGTAGCATCGCCCATCATGGGACAGCTAGGAAGGAAATGACAGTGTCCTTTCGATGACTCCCTCTGGCTGAATAGCTGATGAATTCAGCGTACTGCTGGCATCTTGTTTGTCTTATCTTAAATGTTACCTTTTCTTCTTGAAGGCTAGCCAACACAAAAGTAACTGTGAAGGCTGCGTTTGCAGATGACTTTGACACCTCCAGGGCTGTTGCAGCAATTATGGACCTCATTCACCATGGCAACAGACAGCTTAAGGCTGTTACTAAGGTAACCCGTTAGGATACAGAGATCAGAAAATGACAGCTGTCCACTGTCCTACTGTTTAATGCAGACAGATTAGTTTATTGTTCACATAAGAAACCAGCAGAAACAGAGCTCCATAAATTGTTGACCTTAATGGTGCCCATTTGTCCTGACCGTATCGCAGGAATTGTGTACAGCTATTGTTTTGTGCTTCGTTGTGTCCAAAGGATGTTTCTTTCCTGCTGCCCTGTATTATTTATACCTAAGGTTTTTGAAAGGCCTGAAGCCATTGTGGCATGCTGCTAATTTTAGTGCTGGTTTTATGTTCTTACCCTGCTTTTTTGCTTAATACCCATGCACAGAAATCAATCTAAATTGGGAAATGGTGGGGGGAGGGTGGTTGCTGCAGGGGCTTTGGCAGGCAGTCCCAGGTGCCACAGGGCAGTCGTGGTGGTGAGTTCAGCTTTGGGGACTGAGTGGCTTCTGCTGTCGGCAGGTTTTAACTGTGGCCTCAGCATGTCTGTATGAGTCCACCTTCAGAAGGCTTTTGGCAAACTGAGACCCGGTTAAGATCTCTCAGTGCTGACACAAAGGAAGCATCTGGTAAGGACCAGACCTTAAATACAGTCTGAAGCACTTCTGGCTCTCCTTGTACCAGCAGCTCCCTTTCTCGCTCAAGGTGAGCAGCTCAGCCTTGTTGCTGTGCTCCTTGGTTGCCGGTGCCATCATGTCCACCATTTTTGTGCTGTGAAAGAGGTGCCGAGCATAGAGTAATAACTGAATTGGCTCATTGGTTTAGAAATCCTCCCTCCTCTAGGCCTTGTTTTGGTGCTGGTGTTTTAAGTTCTGTCCTTAGCCTTATCTTTCCCTTTTCTTTACAAAATGACTCTCCAAGAGAAATCCCCAGCTCGAGCCAGTTTGCAGCAGGGGTCTGTAACAGCATTGCCACTCCTTAAATACAAGCAGCCTCATTTTGCCAGTTGTTGCTTGTTTTCCCTGAATTCCTTCTGTCACTCACTTTGCTAAGAATCGGGTGGGATATTTGCGGGGCAGCTGACTCAGCTTTCTGCTTGCGGTGGTGGAGCTTGTCTGCATGCAGCCCAGCTGTCTGAGTGTTATCTCCTACAGGCTGCGCGCAAACTTTTTCTCCGTAAGAGTTGTGAGTAAATTCACATAAATGTAACTACTCAGTCCTCTCTTTAATCTTCTTGTCATTCTTACCTTAGTTGGCACGTTCCTGTTTCTCACCCTCAGCGGTCCACTTCAGCTCCTTCCAGTTCAGATCCTTTGCAAAATTTAGGTTATGGCTTGTCTCTGGCCCTAATGGAGATGTCGGATAAAATCCAGTACCATCTGCTAATTTGGTCATGTATGTCATCACTGTTTTTTTAGGCAAGGGTTAATCCCCTGAATTGCTTCTCAGCTATCATTTAATCTTGATTTTTTTTTTTCTTTTTGTGAAATATGTATTTCTTTCCTCTGTATTTGTGTTCTTAAAAATGCTATTCTAGCACTGCTGCTGGTGGTTGCTGGTGCTACTGGGGCATAACAGAATGCCATAAGCTATCTCAAAGCGGTCTTCATGTTGTTTAAATCAATAAGACACTCAAAAAAGGGTTTGGGGTTTGGTGTTTTTTTTTTACTTTAATTTACTTTAAAGGTGCCCTTGAAGCTGGGATTTTGTTCTTTTATTTTGTTTTCATACACACAGCCCTTTCATGCCCAGAAGTGCTATTTTTAGGTCTAATTTACTGCGTGCATGTAATGCATGGCAGCTTCACACATCTCTTCTCCTCGCTGCGCATGCTGGTAATAAGCTCTTCCCCTCCCCCGTTTACTTAAATCTTTTTCCCTTTGTGTTGTGAGGTGCTTTTATATCTCTCTGAAAGTTCCCATCTGGGCAGGTGTTACTGGTGGAGGTAGATCTATATAATTAGTAGTAAGTTTTCCCTTGTGGACCTAGGCTACAGAGAGATGCTGAGTTCTGTAATATGTATTGACTGGACAATCTCTTTTGAGTGTTTTTTAAACAGGATGCTGGATCTCCTAGAAGCTCTGTTGTGTATGGAAGCATTATTTCCTATATAGAAGGCTTTTTTAATGCCCTTGGGATGTCCTTTGGAGAAAGACAGGTATGGAACATCTCTTCTATGTGTACTAATACATGGTAGCAGTGCCAGCGTTATGTTTTATAGAGCACTTTCCAGAAGCGTCAGATGTAACAAAGTTATTTATGGTTTTAGTAAACCTTTCTGCACTGCTTGCAGTTTCTCCCGTGATGTCTTAGGAGAGTATGTGAGCATGAAGAACAGGAGAAAGCAAAGTGTGGGCTTTTTTTCTTCTCTGAGATACTCCCAGCTCACTTCTGCAGTAATTGTGCTGTGGAAACGAAAGTGTGAGGAATTAAATGAGAAAAAGTTAGCACTGGAGGCCTTTTAAGTTGGTCCTGTTACGTGTCTGGCTTTTTCCCGGCTCTTCCTCTTCTTTCTGATGGTTGTACCCAGGCTGACTTTGATAGCCTTACGAATATTTGCGGTTGTGACCTCCCTGCACAACAGGAGCCAGGGTCCAGCTACTCTGCAGAAAGCTGGGGTGTGGGTAAAGGGGCTGCTCTGTTTTGAGACATGGTAGGGTGCCAGGGGGGTGCTGTCATTGGAAATATCTTACATATCCTCTAGTGCTTGGAAAGGTAGGAATGAGGAGGGGAAAAAAAAAGGAGAGAAAAGCCCAAAGCAAAGTACTGTGTGGAGAAGAGAGTGGTAAATGCGAAGGTGATATCCTGATATATGGAAGGGGAGCATTTAAAATGATGCAAGGTGCTGGGAGACTAGCAGGCTGTTCCGTGCTCCTCTCCTGCTCAAATCTGGAGCTGAATACCAAGAAGTTGAGAACTTTCTTTGGAGAAACTGTTCTGCAAAAATTTCTTTTGGGGGGAAGGGGAGAAGAGGATAAGAAAATGTAAATAACCTTATTAATCCTTTGGAAGTCAGGTAGTAGAGCAGTACATTTATGTATTTACTTCACCTCTTTGTGGATTTTTCCACAAAATTTCTTTCAAGACAGTGATTGGATGTGATTTGGCTGCGTGTTACTCCTGATAACCCGTGGTTTGTCATGTTACTTCTTTGGTGCAATACTAAACACTTACATTTGTCTGTAAGTTGGATGTCAGCGTCATTCCTCCAGATTCTGGACTGCCTGCTGCATCTTTATTTTTGCTGAAACAAGCGTCTGAATGCTTTTCTTTTCTGCATGCTGTGCTAGTTTCTCTGGGGCAGCAGGGTCAGCACAAGACGTTGGCGGGAGGTAGGCAGGGAGGAAGGAGCAGTGCGTCAGACCCTTCTCTGTCCCTCTGCTCTTTCCTTTCAGCTTCCAGTAAACGAATCAATCAAAATCTTCATCAGAAAGGTCCGTGGGCTGCTGCAAGCTAGTAAATAAAGTGGTGCAGGGATTGTTCTCTGATCTCAAGACCAGCCACAACAGCTCAGTGTCCAACCTTGCATGCCCAGGGCTACCTGGCGAAGGGGCAAGAAGCTTGCCAGGAGCAGGTCCTGGCATGTGGGCTGTCTGCAAGAGGGCTAGCTGGCCTGGCTGCTGCTGTACTAACAATTTCATGTAGCGGCTACGGGGAGCAGTGTTCGGGCCCTCTTCATCTGGATGTTTGCATATAGCCTGTGGGTCTGTCTTTGCTCTTAGGGTGGGGTTCATCTTGGCTAATCAGCCTTACAGTCTAAGCCTAGCTGCTGCCTGCGCTTCTGCAGTAGTCGGTGGAGAGAGAACGGCAGCACTGAGGGATGGTTCCTCTTAGTCTGGTGGTTGTATAAAATCAGACTGCCTGTCTCTCCCTCTCTGCATTGGCCAGAGAAGGAGCCTGGGCAGCCACAGGCTGTGAATGTGAATCCATCCAAAATTGCTAGAAGAAACTGCTAAACAGGCAAAACTGGAGGGAA